ATTGCAATTTTAGATGGTATGCTTCCCTAACTTTATGTGCCATATTTTCATTAAAAGTGCTTTATTTCTTATTTGCATTATGTTATGGTTGTTTTGGACGACGATCAAATGATTTTCGAAATGACTGCTGTGTTCGAACTACTGGTAGTAAACTTTTCGTTTGGTAAGTCAACCTTTTTTCCACTTTATTTTCAACTTTATTCTATACTGAAAATAAGGAGAAAATTAGATTACAAGTATACGTGTTTTATTGCAGTTAACAACAATTAGCTATTTTTGTAATCGAACAACAACTCTTGGATTATGTTGTAACTGAAAGCAGTAATAATGATAATCACAAATATACTCTAATAATTTTGTAATTTAAAATTTATATAATTATTTGACTTATTTTTATAAAGTGGAAAACCAAAGTTTAACTTTACCAATTCCTAATTGATATCAGTTTTACTAATCTTTAATTATGCAATAGGTGCTAGAGGATGTAATCTTTTGGTAATTCAGTAATTATTACTCTATCACTTTGCTTTTAATTATTACTTTATTTTTACTATTATTACTTTGATTATTACTTTATCCTGAATCATCCTCATTTCATTTGGAAGAACTGGATAGTTTTGTTAATTAAGTGTATTAATAAACTTGCTGTTTTTCTTTAAATATCGATTGGAAAACTTGTTAAATTTATCATCAAGCAAAAAGAATTTATAGTGGTATTTGGTTAGCAATAATACTGTTACCAGTGATAGCTGCATTAACAGCTTCCTTACTGCTGATTGGTGTTAATGCCTATTCACTTGGATGTTGGCCATTGGATGACCCATTTTCAAGGCCTGATATGCTTTCCGTAGGTTCTTTGCAATCTTTATCAAATTATCACCTTCCTGATAGATTTGTCAAAGAAAAAAGATATCGTCAGTAATATATCGAGCAAAAGGAAATCATTGGATTTAACTAATTAAGTAGTAATTTAACTAATTAAACGAGTGGTAAATATAAATTTTAATGTTCATATTATCTTAATCTTCAGAATTCTTGTAATAACATATTGACATTTTGTAATTTGCAGTTTAGTGAACGTATGTTTGATGCGTGGCGTAATAAACAGATCGAAGAAGATTTATCACCACTAATGAATCAATTATCACTAGCTAATGTGATAAGATCTTGTATGCGTAACGAAACATTATATCATATATTTGCCATGGATAACAAGTATCATTTGTATGATTTACGACAATATGGTAAAGAATTATACGATCGTCTAGAACTAAATATTCAAGATGCTTTTTCGGATATAAGTTTGTCCAAATCAATTGCAACATTTGCTTCACCAGAACAACTTGCAATGTTGCAACAAGCTGTCAATATTACCATTAAGTCAAATATTCCGCAAATTTCCCTCCAGGTAATTTTCTTTTTCATTATATTTTTTGAATAAATTTCGATCTCTAAAGTTTGCACTTTGCAATTCTAAACTTTGTTTTTTCTTTTTCTTGCAAGAAAGGAAAATTGTCTTTTTTCTCCATGGAATTTCATCTGTCTTATTTATCAAATTTTTAGAAATTCAGAAAAGAGAAAAAGAAAAATTTCAGATTAAAAATAATGTAGAACAGTTGGAAAAATTTCCTCGATTGATAAGTCTTATCGAAGATGATCATGCAGGTGGAAATCTTCCACGATCCGTTCAAATAATTGCTGAACAATGGCGAACATTTCAGGTTAGCCTACTTCCTAATTTCCATTTGATTGATGAAAATAAAACAAAAAGAAAACATACATTTATTTCCATTCTTCTTTTATTCTAATCTTTAAATTAACTTTTATTCTAATTTTTAATCTTTAAATTTAAATATTTCACAAAACAACATATATATATATATATATATATTATAATATATATATAT